GCTGATGATGGGGGACCCCAGCAACTACTACCTGGATACGAAGATCGCGGAGCTTCGGCAGAACGAGTGGGGGGAGATGAAGGCAACAAACGCGAGGGACCCAGAATTGCGAGACAACTGGCGCAGAATGCGGGGCTGACTCCGACGGACAATGACGAGGGCCATTTCAGGGATGAGAAGGTGGAGGAGGAGGAAGATGATGATGAGGAGGAGGAGTCGAGAAAGAGGAGGAGAAGGAGGAAGAGGGGGAGCGCTGGCGAGGATGGGGTGCAGTGCAGCGTGGGGGATTCCATCAGTCGACTTGCGCAACAAGCGCAGATAGAAGATCACCTCCCCATTGCGCAGCATGTCCATCAATCGACAGGATGCCCACCTTTCCAAGCATGGTCAACTGCCGTGGAGCGGTCGCAGAGTCGAGCATCAACACGGGTCAATTTTCCAGTGGATGCCCTCACGGTCGTTCTCATGCGCTATGGTGCCTTCCAAGGAACTTGCACAACCAAGATTGAGCGCCTGTTTTCCAAGATTGCCAAGCATATTGCGCCAGACAGGGGCTGCTTGGACGAGATGAACGAGCTTTGCGAGGCTCGGGGTGCTGAAACTAGGGTCCCCCATAAAAAAGATTCTTCTTCTGTTTCTTTCTTATTATGTTTATACTTTATTTCCGTGCCCCTTGAGGTCAAGATCCTGGCAGATGGAGGGGTGGCTGTGGGCGAGTCGCCGCTGCTGATGCAGCTTGCCCAGTGCCATTGGGCCCTCAATTTTGGAGTCCCAAGGGCGGCTCCATCTCATGATCGACTGGACAAGGGTGTGCCTCGCAAGAGAAATTCTGACACGGAAGCCCTTCCTGCAGAAAAGGCGCAAGGCTGTTGCAGAGGACCATGATGTGAGCTTTGAGGACATCATGGCCCAAGCAGAGGATGCAGCTGCGCAGATTCTGGCATCAGAAGCCCAGCTGAGGAAGGAGATGAATATGCAGACATCAAGGCGATACTACAACAAAGCCCTGGCCTTCCTGGAGGGGACGCTGCTTGAATCTGAAGTGCCTTTGGATTTGCTTGAAGTGGCCGAGGCCATCAAGACAGTCCAACAAAGCAATGATGAGAAGAGGGACAAGCGCGCCGATGCTTGCAAATCATGGCCCCTTCTGCGCCCCAGCTTCAGGGCACTGCCATCTGGCTGCCAGACGAATCGCTTTCAAGATTGCCTGAATGCAGAGGAGGAGGACGTCGTTGCCAAGCAGGGAGGAATTGAGGAGGCTTGCTTGTTCGGAATGAAGATGGCCCTGATCTGACGCTTTGGTCTTCGTATGGGGTTGTGTCAAAGTGGGGGAGGGGATTGGGGTGATTTGCTTGAAAGTCACGCCACAGTTTCTAGCTGCAAAAGCCACTGTCCAGCAAGTTCAACCTACCAAAGGCTGGCTGCTAGAATTCTGTTTGTGCGTGCGTGCGTGGAATGGTTTTGGTCTTGGTCACGACATCAGTAGCACCAAGGGGCAATTTTTTTCGGCATTTTGCGGGGCTGAGCCATCACCCACTGCCACGCTTTTCCAGCTCGCTCTTTTGATGGGAGCGCGCGCAGGCTGCTCAAAGCACTTGCGCACAGCCACAGCTGCACAGACAAGGCTGCGCAGCCACTAACCGCAATAGACGGGAAAACAGAGCTTGGAAAGCAGCAAAGCATGAGGTCGCCGCATGAGGCGTTGCAACATGGCAATTTGCTGCGCAAAGAGCGGGGTCGCCGAATGAGGCGTTGCAACACGGCAATTTGCTGCGCAAAGCGCGAGGTCGCCGAATGAGGCGTTGCAACATGGTCGCAGCATGGTCATTTGCAACCTGAGGAGCCGGCGCTCCGGCGATGCGGCCCTTGCACAACATGCCAGGGCCTCGGCAGAGCAAACAGATCTTCACTTACTAACCTTTCTGAAAAAAAACCCACTGCATTTTTGTCTTGGCACGGCGGGCGGTCTGTGCTCACACATGCACCCCCCGTGCAAGGTCAATATCCAACCTCTGGGGTTGCAAACAGTTATTGCGGCATCTGCTCGCGCAACAACTGGGCTTCTTGCCGACCTTTGGCGCGCCCTTTAGCGAACCCTTTATCGTACATTGATCGCAAGACATCAGGCGGGCTAGTGGGCTCTTCCCCCTCCCCCTCAGCACGCTGGTCTCCACCGCCTTCCCCCTTGACAACTTCCTTGGTGTTGGCGCTGCCTGTCTTGCCATCCTCCTCCATTGCGGCCCTTTCAATGAGAGCAAGTGATGCCGGGGGGGAACTTCTTGAGCTTCAATGCCAACACCAAGAAACACGCCATTTTCCAATTTACTTTCAATGACAAAGCATTGCCTCATTCGGCAAACCAGCGTTGCCTCATTCGGCAAACCAGCATTGCCTTGTCACGCAGCAAGCCATGCAGCAAGCCAACCGCTGTTTTTGCCTCATTCGGCAGACTCTGCCTCATTCGGCAAGCAAACCACTCAGCTGCCAGCAGATTCAATGTCGCCGCCCCCTTCCCATTCCCGGCTCTGCCTCTTGCCTCTGTGTCCGCGCCCTCCGTGCCCCCCGCAGCGGCCTCAGGTGGCTGGCGGGCGCCTCTCATGTCTAGCTTGCGGCTGGGGCTGGCTGGTGCAGGCTGACCGGGACCGGGCGTGGGTCGGCAAGGTCGAGATCGAGAGCACGCGCAGCACACGCAGCATGAACAAACAGAAAACAGCTTGACCGACAAGTCGCCTTTTGGCCTCAAAGGCGACTTGTGCTTGTGTTGGGTGTGTTGTGTGTCTGCACGCAGTGTGTGTGTGTGTGGCTTGCTGCATGGCTTGCTGCATGACAAGGCAATGCTGGTTTGCCGAATGAGGCAACGCTGGTTTGCCGAATGAGGCAATGCTTTGTCATTGAAAGTAAATTGGAAAATGGTGTGTTTCTTGGTGTTGGCATTGAAGCTCAAGAAGTTCCCCCCCTGGCATCACTTGCTCTCATTGACTTGTGCTTGTATTGGGCGTGTTGTGTGTCTGCACGCAGGTGTGTGTGTGTGTTGCGTTGTTGTGTAAGTGTGTGTGTGTGTGTTGTGTGTGTGTGTGTGTTTGTAAGTGTGTGTGTGTGTTGCGTTGTTGTGTAAGTGTGTGTGTGTGTTGTGTGTGTGTTGTGTGTGTTTGTAAGTGTGTGTCATGCGTGCGTGTGTGTGTGTGTGTTGTGTGTGTGTTTGTAAGTGTGTGTCATGCGTGCGTGCCTGCGTGCGTGCGGTTGCGGTTGCGTGCGCGCGTGCGTGCGTGCGTTGCGCGCGTGCGCGTGTGCGTGTGCGTGTGGGTGTGGGTGTGTGTGTGTGTGCGTGTGTGCGCGAGTGGTGAACGGGAGGGCCGCGACGAATTGGCTTGCCTGCTTAACTGCTCTGCAGCCATTTCAGCCAGCATCCTGCAAGATTGAGCGCAATGCCTCGCCCGCCGGCAAAAGTGGGCAAGAGCGATCTTGCAATTTTGGAAGCTGCAGGGGTCACTCTGGAAGACCTGCAACATTGGGAGGATTGCGGGGAAACTGGGTGTGACCGGTGTTCCTTTGTGCGCAACATTCCGGAATGGCACAAAAAGCTGCAAGCCGGCACTAGTGGAAAGACCTGGCTTTGCAGCGCCGTTGGGCCGGATGGCGCATGGACACTTCAATGTTGGGTATGCAAAGCTGCAAAGGTGGATAGTGCCTGGTCGACAGGGGTGGCAACCAAGTTGCTGGGCAACATGCAGAGGCATCACAAGTCTCATCAGCACCAGGAGGCCTTAGCGAAGTTGGGGCTGGGGGAGTTTGAGCAGGACCTGGAAACGGCCCCTTCAGCCGAAGACTTTCAAAAGCTCATGAAGTCGAGGAAGGAGACCGGCGCGCTCAGACAGGGAGTTGCAGGAGTGGGGGGGCGCAAGAAGATCACGCAGATGCAGTACTGCCTGGGCCGAGCATTGTTCACGCTGGATCAGGAGTTCCTGCGCAACGCGCAAGTGATTGCGATCAGCGAGGATGTGCGGCAGCATAAGGTCCTGATTCGATATGCAGCTTGCGACAGCAATCTGCAAATCCGGAGCGGGCTGCTGGGGTATTTCGAGTTGGGCACGCACAGCGGCAACATCGGACTTCGCAAGGCTATGAAGGTTGCCTTGGAGGTCTTCTGTCTGGACTTCGATGGGGAGGTGGACAGGGGGTTGCTGGAGCACATTGCAGACAAGGTGGAGTTGTTCACTGCTGACGCTGCCTCGGATGAGCAACTGGCCGGCAGGCTGCTTTCCTCCCAGGGGCTGTTTGCAAACCTCCGGTTCGTGACGAAGGACCGGGCGCATGCATCAACACGTCTCCTGGAGAGGCCCTGGCAAGCAGACAGCGAGCTGAGCAGAATTGTGGATCAGCTGGCTCTTGGCCGGTCGGTGGTGCGCCGCATCCACAACAGCCCGCACTTGAGCACGATTTTCGCTCAGTACTGCCAGCAGATGAACGATGCGCCGCTGAGAGGAGCGCGCATCAAAAACTTGTCTGTGGCCAAACAACGCTTTGCGTCAATAAGCAAACCTGTTGGCCGGTGCGTGCTTTACCTCGAGGCCCTTCTGAACACAATTGTGTGGATTTTAGTGAACAGGGGCCCGTCCACTGATGAGGGGAAATTGGCCATTGAGTTCCTCGAGGTCATGGGGGAGGAGCAGCTTGTTCTAGCAGGAATGATTAGCGATCTCAGCGACGAGTGCATGAGGCTGGTTCGCTACTTCGACGGCGACTACGACCTGGCTGGGACTTGCGTCCAACTCAAATGCTTCATGGTCCGGATGCATTTCCTTGTCAACCAGGGTCGGATTTTCGACACAGTGGGCTACACGCAGCGCTGCATCCACCAGCTGCACAATGCGCGCGGCTTCATTGTGAAGGGGGAGCCTGTTACCATAGGCGGCCCGGGCCGAGTGTCACAAGCCATGCTGGAGAGATGCCGAGTTCGGATGGCTGGGGAGACGCTTCAAGCGGAATTTCCTGCATTTGAAATGCTCTCAGCGTTCCACGTTTTCAGCTTGGAGCCGCGTGCTGCGCGAGAGGATGGGGTGCAGTGCAGCGTGGGGGATTCCATCAGTCGACTTGCGCAACTGTTTGAGGTGTGCCCGCAGAGCCTGCAAGCGCAGATAGAAGATCACCTCCCCATTGCGCAGCATGTCCATCAATCGACAGGATGCCCACCTTTCCAAGCATGGTCAACTGCCGTGGAGCGGTCGCAGAGTCGAGCATCAACACGGGTCAATTTTCCAGTGGATGCCCTCACGGTCGTTCTCATGCGCTATGGTGCCTTCCAAGGAACTTGCACAACCAAGATTGAGCGCCTGTTTTCCAAGATTGCCAAGCATATTGCGCCAGACAGGGGCTGCTTGGACGAGATGAACGAGCTTTGCGAGGCTCAGGGTGCTGAAACTAGGGTCCCCCATAAAAAAGATTCTTATTCTGTTTCTTTCTTATTATGTTTATACTTTATTTCCGTGCCCCTTGAGGTCAAGATCCTGGCAGATGGAGGGGTGGCTGTGGGCGAGTCGCCGCTGCTGATGCAGCTTGCCCAGTGCCATTGGGCCCTCAATTTTGGAGTCCCAAGGGCGGCTCCATCTCACGACCGACTGGACAAGGGTGTGCCTCGCAAGAGAAAAGCTGACACGGAAGCCGACTTGAAAAGGCGCAAGGCTGTTGCAGAGGACCATGATGTGAGCTTTGAGGACATCATGGCCCAAGCAGAGGATGCAGCTGCACAGATTCTGGCATCAGAAGCCCAGCTGAGGAAGGAGATGAATATGCAGACATCCAGGCGATACTACAACAAAGCCCTGGCCTTCCTGGAGGGGACGCTGCTTGAATCTGAAGTGCCTTTGAATTTGCTTGAAGTGGCCGAGGCCATCAAGACAGTCCAACAAAGCAATGATGAGAAGAGGGACAAGCAAGCGCGCCGATGCTTGCAAATCATGGCCCCTTCTGCACCCCAGCTTCAGGGCACTGCCATCTGGCTGCAAGACGAATCGCTTGCAAGATTGCCTGAATGCAGGAATCTGCGGTTCGTGGCGGACAAGGCAGCAGAACGCATTTTTTGCTGCGATCCAGACAATCCTGGCCAGCGCACCAAGTGGCACGTCACATTGAATGGAGGCACCATCGTGAGCACCGACTACTTGCGGACTGGCGGGAAGAAGGGGGTGGCGTACCAGTATGAAGGAGCTGTGACTGTGAGGCGGCACTTCTTTTTGTCCCCAGAGCTCGCTCATGCGCACCCTCTGCTGGCTGAAATTGTCAGAGCTGCAGCTGGACACCGGCAATCCAAGTGGAAAATGGTGACCACGTGGGAGTCCTTCCTGGAACGCCTAGAGCAGGAGAAGGGCAAGAAGACTGCGCTTGCGCTGACAGTGCCCGAGATTGTGAGGAACGGCATCCAGCACCGTCGGAGTGGCCGGGGGGGGTGAAGCTCTGCCACGCGTTGTGTGTCAGGCATTTGAGGACTTGGCCGTCATTCAATCGCACTCCATCTTCCAGCAGATCTCCAGCAGATAGCCATTGAAGTCAAGCAGTGCTCAAGGCATTGCGGGCGCAAGAGCCCGAAAAGTGGGCTAATCCTTATTGGCCTCGGTGTAGAACATTTTCAGCCCGGCACAATGCGCTTGTGGTGTACAGACGCAGCCAAGGCTGCTGTTTCTCTGCCGGGCTTTCCGAGTCCAACTTAGACACAGTGAGTCGGGAGGAGGAAATCAAAAGGGGCAGACAACAGAGCTTGATAAGCGTGAGCCTTGTTTCATCCCATCTTGCTCTTTGCAGCATTGTCTTATTGCCGAACAAGGCAAGTCTGCCGAATGAGGCAGCGCAGTGCAAAAGCTTGATCTTGTAAGCCTTAGCCCTTCAATGTCCCTTTCGGAGTTGCAGGGCTGTGAGTGATCGGCTGACCAAGCTCTGCGACAGGCAGTGGTTCGCTGGTTTGCAGGCGCGCGATGCAAAAGTTTCGCCAATGAACAGTCACAGCCCCGGCCCCTGTGAACAATTTTCAGCAAGTTGAGTCTGCTGCCAGCTTCCGGAGCGTGGGCAAAGAGGCGCGTCATTGGAGTCCTGGCTGGAACTAGCAGTGCCGAATCAGCCAGAGATCCGCCAAACAATTTGTTTTGTTTCTAATAAGAGCCACGCCGAATGAGGCAGAAATCGGCCGAATGAGGTGTTGGGTTCCTTGCAGCAGTTGTCATTAAAAGAAAATACAAACAATGCCGAATGAGGCAGAGATCCGCTGAATGAAGCGTCAGGTCCTTTTTCCGTGCTTTGATGGAAGAATTCACCTTGTTCATCTACCTTGAACTTGAGGCGGCAGAAGTACCAATGGCTGACCAAGCTCTGCGACAGGAAGTGGCTTCGGAACAACGCGCAGCTGGCTTGCAGGCGCGCACTGCAGAAGTGTTGCCAAGCAGCGACTGGCTCCATGCATTGTTTGCTCACGTCTCACGTCATCACTAGCATTGTCTGCTCGCGTCCTGACTGGCAGCGACCTGACTGCATCATGTCCGGGCTCAAGAATTTCAGGAAGGGGCGGGGGGGGGGGGGCACGGGGTTGGAGTTCCAGCTTTCAGCTGGTGTTGATGATGGACTACCCTAGAAACTACTACCTGGGTGCGAAGGTGGCGCTCTGCGTGGCGGAGGAGCTGCAGGAGATCGGGTGGATGGAGATGAGAGCATTCTGTCTCTTGGTGCACATTCAGTCTCTTGTATGTTGTTTGTGTTTTTGGTGTCAAACACTCACCTAGTTATCAAACCTTTTATGTTGCTCAGCGCAGCGCAGGCTTGCTTTGCGAGCGGTGGGCTGACGGCTGGTGGAATGCGGACTGGCCACAGGGCCCAGACAGAGCTGCAGCAGGGCGGCGGGGGGTCGGCCCAACACCCCCGCCAACTGGCAGGGGGGGGAGGGGGGGGGTCCGCCGCCCCGGTGGTGCATGACTACAGGCCCGCTTCAGTTTCCAGACTCACGGAACATATGGAAGCGGTCCAGGCCCAGAAGGAACAGCTCAGGCTGGAAACTGTCGACCTCCGGCGACAGTTGACGGAGCTTGAGCAGAAGAAGGCGGAGGAGGCTGCGCGTCACGAGCAGGACAAATTGACCAAACAGAGAGAGGAACACAAACCAAACCTCCGGCGACAGTTGGCGGAGGAGGGGAGGTGGAAGGATCTGGAAGACGCCCTGAGCTGCGCGCGGAAGCAACATGAAGCGGAAAATATGGCAAGGATGCCTACAGATCGCCTGGTGACAACAGCGGAGGAGGAGGAGGAGGAGAAGGAGGAGGAGGAGGCCAACGCCCATGGTTGTGGTCGTGAAAGCTGGTACCTGAAGAGGGCTCGTGGGCTGACCTGGAGCAGACGTTTGGAGGAACAGGCTGCACGCTCCTGGAGTTTGCGACGAAGGACCGGGCAGATGCAGAGAGGCCATGGCAAGCAGTGGTGCGCCGGTCATTGGTGCGCCGGATACACAATTCACCACACGTGAGCACTTCGGAACGGTCAGGGCTGGGAAGTGCGGCTGGAGCAGGAGGCGGAGGAGGAGCTCAGTGGAACTTGGTCTTGGAGGAGCAGTGGGTGGAGCTGGAGCAGTGGTTCGTTGGCCATTGGCCATTTGAGCGTTAGTGAAACTCACTGATGCTCAGATTTCCAATGCTTGCGGATCGCGCGCTGTGCTTTAAAGTTGTCTGGCAGCCATGTCGAAAGATCTGTCGTTGTAGAAATAGCTGCTGTGCTATCCAACAGCAGTGTATCAGAAAGTCATTTGCGGCTGCGAAGCAACCCAGCGCCTGTTTCACCCATCGCCGTTCAAGCGAAGCAGTGCTCAAGGCATTGCGGGCGCAAGAGCCCGAAAAGTGGGCTAATCCTTATTGGCCTCGGTGTGGAACATTTTCAGCCCGGCACAATGAGCTTGTGGTGTACAGACGCAGCCAAGGCTGCTGTTTCTCTGCCGGGCTTTCCGAGTCCAACTTAGACAGCGTGAGTCGGGAGGAGGAAACCAAAAGGGGCAGACAACAGAGCTTGATAAGCTTGAGCCTTGTTTCATCCCATCTTGTTCATTGCAGCTTCGTGTTTTTGCCGAACAAGGCAAGTCTGCCGAATGAGGCAGCGCAGCGCAAAACCATATTTTGTAAGCCTCGTCCTTTTTGGAGTTGCAGGGCTGCGAGTGATTGGCTGACCAAGCTCTGCGACAGGAAGTGGCTTCGGAACAACGCGCAGCTGGCTTGCAGGCGCGCACTGCAGAAGTGTTGCCAAGCAGCGACTGGTTCCATGCATTGTTTGCTCACGTCTCACGTCATGACTAGCATTGCCTGCTCGCGTCCTGACTGGCAGCGACCTGACTGCATCATGTCCGGGCTCAAGAATTTCAGGAAGGTGCGAAGGTGGCGCTCTGCATGGAGGAGCTGCAGGAGAACGAGTGGATGGAGATGAGGCACGAATTGCAGGAGAACGGCTGGGATGAGACTGAAGAACTTTGCTACTTGACGCATTATTTTGAATTTGTTGACGCATTATTTTGTGTGTTTTGCAAACGCATTGTAGTTGCCAAGAACTTATGTGGATCCGTTGAGGCTTGCTGCGCGGTCGGTGGTCGAGTTCACCACACCCGTGCACAATTGCTCAGTGCTGCCAGCAAATGAACGCGCGCATCAAGAACTTGTCTGTGGCAATGCAACGATTTGCGTCAAGAAACAAACCTGGCTGTTGCGAGCTGTGCTTCGGTGGGCCCCTTCGGAACACCAGGGACTTGATGGATGTGAAGCGGGAGGAGGAAGAGGAGAAGGAGAAGGGGGAGTGCTGGCGTCTGTGGCAGGATGATGAGGGAGAGGGCGAGTACTGGCGTCCGTGGCAGGATGCTGAGGGAGAGGGGGACTACTGGTGGCCTTGGCAGGAGGATGAGGGAGAGATCCTGGTTTGGCTCAGCCATGGGGGGATGACATTGAGAATCCCGGACAAGCGCATGAGATTCATGAGATTCAATGGAAGGAGGAGGAAGAGGAGGAGGAGGAGCAATGCAACCGGGCAGATCGTTCGTGGCAAGCTCCCTCGCATGACCGACTGGGCACGGGTGTGCCTCGCAAGAGAAAAGCTGACAACACGGAAACCGACTTCCTGCAGAAAAGGCGCAAGGCTGTTGCAGAGGACCATGACCTTTGAGGACATCATTGCCAAGCCGAGGAGGAGGAGTGGGCAGTCTGCGCCAGGAGGAGGAGGAGGCCACGCAATGGCAGAGAAGGATCTCTTCGATGGGGACATGGACAAGGAGTTGCTGGAGCACATTGCAGACAAGGAGTTGTTCACTGCTGACGCTGCCTCGGAAGACGGAGGAGCGGAAGGCGCACAAGAATCGCAAGGAGAAGGAGCCGGTGAAGGAGAAGGCTCAGGAGAAGGAAGAGCGGAAACGCCAAACCGCACCTCCTGCAGCCAAGCGGAAGAAGAAATTGAAGAGGTGCACATCGCCTACTTCCCCGGCCGGTTTTCGGACTTCGGATTCAAACGCGCACCAGACCTGGCCGGACCTCTGCTTCGTGATGAAGGACCGGACACATGCAGGGAGGCCATTGCAAGCGCTTTATCAGTGATAAGCATGATCAGGAGGAGGAGGAAGAGGAGGAGGAAGAGGATGAGGAAGAGAAGGAGGAGGAGCAACGCAAACGCTATGGAGAGGGCAGGAAGTTTTGTTGTGGCCGGCAACCTTTTCTGGCTGAACGTCGCGAAGGACTTCTTCAACCTTTTCTGGTTGAACGCCCCGAAAGTGGTGTCCCTGTCACGGAGCGTGGGGCTGGTCGCGAAGGACTTCTTCAGTGTTCCGAAGGAGTGGCCCCAGGAACTCCTCATGAAGGACCTCTATGGGTTCTTGGCAACATTGGCCAAGGCCCTTCGGCAGAGGAGGAAGCAGAGGAGGCAGAGGAGGAAGAGTAGGCGGCCAACGGCTGTGAGCCAGGCGGCAGCCACCCAAGGAGGGGACAATCCTGGCCAGCGCACGAAGTGGCACGTCACATTGAATGGAGGCACCATCGTGAGCACCGACTACTTGCGGACTGGCGGGAAGAAGGGGGTGGCGTACCAGTATGAAGGAGCTGTGACTGTGAGGCGGCACTTCTTTTTGTCCCCAGAGTTCGCTCATGCGCACCCTCTGCTGGCTGAAATTGTCAGAGCTGCAGCTGGACACCGGCAATCCAAGTGGAAAATGGTGACCACGTGGGAGTCCTTCCTGGAACGCCTAGAGCAGGAGAAGGGCAAGAAGACTGCGCTTGCGCTGACAGTGCCCGAGATTGTGAGGAACGGCATCCAGCACCGTCGGAGTGGCCGGGGGGGGTGAAGCTCTGCCACGCGTTGTGTGTCAGGCATTTGAGGACTTGGCCGTCATTCAATCGCACTCCATCTTCCAGCAGATCTCCAGCAGATAGCCATTCAAGTCAAGCAGTGCTC